AGCAATAGGATTTGTAGCTCGATGTTTTCATTTAATAGTATGTTTTGGGTATCTTCCCATATCGGTGCATAAAAATCTACTTCATTCTTTTTAATAGCTATATAGTATTTCAGTCTAGGACTATATCATAAATACTTAACCACTCTTTTACTGGTGGGTATTTAGATACGTATATACTGATGAAGTAGATGTCCTTTTATATATATTTTTGCTCACCCAAATTGAGTGTATTTGTAGGATAAATTATTAGAAGTGGAATTGTTGGAGCACTTAAAATTTTTGCTGGATATGATCAATTATATCCTTAGAAAAAGTTGTGCCAAGAACTCAACAGTGTTTACTGTTCCTGTTTTCTTACCTTCTAGAAAACACTGAACATTATCAATCTTAATCTTTGTTCATTTGATAGATTTAAAAAGCAATATCTCCTTGTTTTAATGTATATTTCTTTAATTATGAGTAAATTTGAGCACATTTTGATATTTTTATTAATCATTTATAATTATGTTTTTGTGAATTATATACATATATTTTGCTTATTTTCCCACTGGGTTCTTTATTACATATTTGGAAGAGTTTTTTTTTTATGTTACCCACCCCCAGTTTGCTGTTTATAACTTATAGACCTTCAGATTGGGTAGTTCAACTTGCTTACTTTCTAGATGAGAAAACTTGAGCCTCAAATGGGATTAGGGTTGGTGGCCTTTTTTGGCAGAGGGTGAGCATGTAGTCAGATAGTGGCAGAGCTGAAACCAACATCAAGATTTTTACTTCTAGTGTGGTGCTTTTTTCATTATACTGTGCTATTTTTTTATTTATAAAAATTTATTAAAATTCATAATTGTTTGATTGTCTATCCCAGGAGCATCTATTCATCCAACTATGCTATTTTTAAGGCTTACTTCCCTCCCTCTTCCACCATTGCTTTTTACCACTAGGTCTTGCCACAGCCAGATGTTTATGGTAAACTTATAAATTTACCAGCTTGGTATCAAAGTTTGAAAGGCTATAGGGTTGTACAGGAGTCCAGGAGACTTCACAGGTATGAGATTGTTTCTAATATATGGATAACTAAACTAAGTTTTCTATATGCCAGTTATGTTCATGTCCTTTTCATTTGTTTAAAAAAAATACTGTTTTGTTTTGTAGGTTCATGGGTGTCTGTGTACATCAAGGACAGTTGCATGCACTTACAGAGGTAAGACTTCAGTAAGCCTGTTAAGTAAGCATTATGGTTCCATAGTGATTGTTATTTGCTTATGTAAGGAAAATTTGTGTGCATTTATGTTTATGCAAAAATGGCAGTGTTATTTTCTTTCGTTGCCTGGGAACAATGGCCATATCTCTTAATACTCTTGGATTCTCTCATCAGACTTGGTGAATACTCTGAGAATATGAGTGCTTAAATATTAAATTAGTTCTTGCTGCCTGGATGACCCCCTCCTAAGCTAAGGGATGGTATCATTTGGCCACAGACTCCATCATGGCAACAAATTCCCAGACTACCCAGAAATGTTTGGTATCCTGACCTACAATTCCACATTTAAATTGCTGCTCTGGTTTCCTGATTGGTCTTATTATTCCTTGGAATCAATTTCCATTTCCATTTTCATTTCATTTTTTCCTTTTGTAGGCAGATGTATATGCCATAGTCATAATTGAGGCTCTGAGGACCAGAAAACCCTCTCTAGAACAAAGGCTTCCCAGGTTCTGGTATTGAGTTATCAGCTTCAGAATTTGCTTGGGTCCTTTTTAGAAACACAGATTCCTGAAATCTTCTAAGTTTAGTAGGTCTGCATAGAGCCCATATGTATTCTTCAAAGCTTCTTAAATTATCCTAGTGAGCATCTAGATTTTAGAATCTGTATTCTAGAATGTTTCGCATTCTTCCTTGAGAAGCGAGTACCAAAATACAAAGTGAAGAAACTTAGGAAGGAAAATTATTTAACAGAATTTGCAAGAGTATTGGTTTCCTGCTGGCTTGGTGCCTGGAAATAGTCCTTGATATCTTATGAAGGAGGGTCCCTTGTGTCCATCTACTTTTCTCAGTTACTCAGGGCACCTGAATGTGGAATGTGTGTAGCTATGTCCTGTCTCTTATATGGAAGGCCAAAGAAGGTGTAAGAGTGAAGTGGTTAAGAACATGGGCTCTGAAGTCTTGATTGCTTAGGTTTGAATTTCTGTGACTCAATGTTTTCATCTGTAAAATAGGAGTAATAACAGTAGTACCTGCCCCAGGGAGTCTAGATAGGAAAGAGGACCAGTAGCTAAGCCCTAGAGTATTTCAATTTTAAAGGTCTGGGGAGAAGAGCAGATTAAAAAGGAGTAGCTAGTGAAGTAGGAAGAAAACCAGGAAAGCATATTGGTTTGGAATGGAACCAGAAGAAGGAGAAGGGAGTAATTAATTGTGGCAAATGCCACTGATAAGATGATGACCTCATAGGGATGTTTTGAAGATGAAATGTAAAATGCTTATTTAGCATAGTACCTGGCATATAGTAATTGCTAAATACATTTTAACTATTATAGCTTTTATTATTAACAGTGACTAGTGCCTCCTGAACTCCTTGAATTGTCAATATTTTTCATTTGGTACTTACTTCTACACTATTGTTAGTGTTATTAATTTCTTTGAAAAAACTTCTTATTGAAGTAAAGCATAACAGAAAAAGCACATATATGAAGAGTGTACAGCTCACTAAATTTTTGCAAATGACCACACCCATAACCAATATCCAAGATCAAGAAACATTTTCTGTGTATTTCTTTTCTCAGAAGTGAGTCTATAAATTCTTCAAAGACAACTCTCTTCTTCTCTTAAGCCTCCTATCTGCCAGAGCTCTGACACTAATACTTGTAAAAGTATTTGTTGTATTCCTGCTTATATCACTGTTTTCTGAAGTGTGAGTTCATTGGAAGGGCTTGTGTTTTTTGCTGACAAAAGAACATACTTTAGTATTTGTGATCATGTCACAAATTTTGCTGATTTTGCTGACAAAGAAGAACATACTTTAGTATTTGTGATCATGTCACAAATTTAGAAGTGGGGTATAGTGGAAATGAATGATCTTAATACAATATTCTTTTAGCCATGTTGCACTTATATAATATTTTCTGTTTTTTTTTTTTTAGCTTGGTTATAACCATATACAACATACAGTGCATGTTTTGTGAAAGAGTATGTATTTCCAGTATCATTAATGAGATAATGGTCTAGCCTATGATATTAATAATTTTTATTATGTTAATAGGCTGATGGTCATGAAGTCCAAATATCCAGATGGTCTTGATTATTTTCAGATGGCAGATGCCATCATGCCATAGATCTCTGGGAACTCCTATGTTTAAATGCCTTACAATTTTGACTTAGCAGCACAGCTATTGGTTTAGCTAAGGATCATAAAAATAAATTACTAAAAACATCTAGCACAGCAGTTGGAACTTGGATGACATTTAGTAAATATTCTTGCCTGCCCTCTACAATAATGTGAGCACCATTCCTTATTTCTTTAAAAATAGTTTGGTCAATAATTACAGTAGACAAGCATAGCTTTTGTTAATGCCTGTAAGAATTGCTATTATTAGGAATTCATATACAGTAGTGATATGGACTTTCCTTGGCTCAAACTATTTCCCAGAGTATTGATTGGAATTGTAAACATTAATCGAAGTTAGAACAGACACTTAGGTCTGTTTTTTTAAACTGCCCATAGTAAGGATAGACTTCTAAGCAAATAAGTATTTGTTAAAGAGAACATAGTTTGATAAAAGATCAGACAGAAACTTTTTTTAAAGTTTAATTAGTTGAATTAAGAATTCATGAAGAATATATCCAACCTCTAGTTTCTAGGAGCAGGCTTCAACCCATGGCTGATACACTGGTGACAAGAAAATAAAGTGACCCAAGTCAGAATTCTTTTCAAAGGCTTGCATCATTGATACCCAATCAGAAATGAGTGAAAACCTTTGGTTTTTTTTGAAAGTATGATAAAAGTTAGTTGCTAAATGTTAACTGTGGTGATTATCTTAAGTAATATAAAATCTGAGCATTTTGGGCAAAAAAAAAAAAAAAGAATTCATATGTATTGAATAGGAATGCTTCTTAAGTATGGTCTTTGACTCAGAAGAACTAACCTTGTCTTTCATTTAGTCACGAGTATCAAGGAAATGGAAATCTTTGGTTTTGAAAGACAGAAAATATAACCCTAGGTATCAGTTAGTTATTGCTATATGATATCCAACCACAAAACCTCACAAGCATTCAGAAATAAACATTTGTTTCTCATACATCTGCAGAGTTTACCTGAGCTGAGCTGGCCCAGTTGGGCAATCTGCTGGTCTCACTTAGACTCACTCATGCATCTGTGTGTCAGCTGGTGGTCTGCTTAGGCTGGGGTTTTACTGAGGCAGCTTTGCTCCAGCTATTTCTCATCTTTCCTTCTGGGACCATTGGGCTAGCCTGGACATGTCCTTTTTAAGATGATACCAGAATAGCAAGAGTATGCCAGCCCATTTGCATGAGTGCTTTTCATGATTATACTTATGTTCAATTTTGCTTGGCCAACATCCCATTGGACAAAGCAAGTCACATGCCTTAGTCCATATTGGGAGCATACTGCAGTTACATGTCAAAGGGCATGGATTCAGTAAGGTGTAAAGAATTGGAACCATTGTTGCAATCTTCCATATTCTATAAATATCCCAATTAACAGATCATAATGATTTGTCTTTTCTGCCCTTAAGGGTAAAGAATTCTTCTGATTTTTAAAATCATAACTACCAGTTATTAAACAGATACTATGGGCTAAGTGCTATGCTTGGTGCTTTATATATTAGCATTACTCTCACAATTCTGTAATCCTAATTCTTTAATTTTATAGATGAGAAAACTAAGGCTTAGAGAAATTAAATGACTTCCCCAAAGTTGGATTTGGATCAGATTCATCTGACTTCAAAGCCTATACTTTTTCCATTATAATATGCTGTCCTTAATTCACTTATGTATTCCTCACAGAGCTAAGCACAGGTTCTTGTATGTGTAGCATGTGTAGTCTTTGTAGAATTTGAGTCTGACTAACTTTATATATATTTTGGGTTATTTGGAAGAGATATTTCCTAGTTATGGGGTATATTAGAATGTGTTGGTAACAGAAAAATAGTTAAATAGTCTTCAACAATAACACTCATAACTGAAATTCCAGCAGTTTATTGGGTGAAGGATTGGTTTGATTCAGCAACTAAGTAGATGTTATCCAGAGACATCGTTATTTTACATCTCTTCACTCTATCTTTACATTGTCAACTTCATGATAAGATTGGCTGGCTATCATTCATAATCAAAAAGTAGCTGCTACCAACTTACATGCTGTATGTTTTCTTTTTCTTATATAAGATGGGGGGGTGGTGTCAAAGAAAAAGAGAAGAGAGAACTGGACAGATTATGCATCATCTCATAATGTTATTCTTTTTAAGCTTGTTAAGAAAGGCACAAAGAGGGAAATATCTTCATAATCAAACAGTTTGAGAAATTTCTTTGTGCAGAACCTCTCAGTGCCTAGAGGGATTTGAGGGATGAGTAGGGCACAGGTTGTAGGGCACAGGGTCTCAAGTGACAATACTTTCTGTGGTCAAAGGAGTCAGCAAAAGAATTGCTTGGCAAGTAGGATGTTTTGGGGTCTCTCTTGCCTTTTCTACCATGGAGAAACTATTGTTTTTTTCCCACTGTTACACAGCGATTGCTTGGCCTGTTCAGGTGATGCAGTCTCTTTACAGCAATGTCTCCTCAGTAAGACAGATACTTGGTACTAAAAGAAATGCCCTTAGCTCATGAGAGAATGGATCAACACTGCAGGAGGCTGAAGAGAATTTTTTATTTACATAGCCCTCATCCTCTTCTCACTCACCATTTCTACCCCCACTATACACCTTCTTTTTTTATCAAAGAATAGTCACTTTGGAAATTTCTTGTTTATGTGAGTTGATACGTGTTGTTTCTGAGTTGTTTTTTGTCAGACTTATAAGAAGCCTTATATAATCAGGAAGCTTACAATGAAAGGAAACTCTGTGGGTTCAGTGACTAAACTCATGCATTATTCATAAAAATGAGCAGCCAGACCCCGATTCCAGTTTCTTGGTGTGCTGTGATATTACCATTAGTTGTGCCTACTTCTTTTCTTGTTTTCATGTGGCCCAGTACGG